CCCCAAAAAACCAAAAACACCCCCCCCCCCCCCCCCCCCCAAAAACCCCCCCCCCCCCCCCCCCCCCCCCCGAAAACAATCCATACGGCATCGTTCCGTGCACTGGGTGTGTGTAGCGTTGCCGTGCACTGTTCGCCGGAGCGTGACTTGTTCTCTCCACCGTTTCCCGTCGTGCTGTTTCGCAGTCTCTGCCTTTCGGAGGCGTGAAGGACTCGGGGTACGGGAGATTCGCGGGGCCGGAGGGTCTCCGCGCGTGCTGCCTTCTCAAGTCGGTCACGGTCGACCGCTTCCCCAAGATAATGGGCACCGTCGTGCCCGCTCCTCTACAGGTGCCGTTGCTTTTCGCGTCTGGTATACTATTCTACAATACATTCTATAATGGATTTATGCACTGTTGGATCGGTGATTCGTTGGACACCTGTGTTTTTTCGTTTGTTCGCGAACTATTTCAAATGCATTGCAAAATCGGCTGTTCGTGGTTTACAGACTGGAACGCTCGACCAGCAAGCGGCTGGGAATTACGTAGGTTCATGACAAGAAAAGCGCATGTTTTTTCTCCTCCCAAATCGCGTCGCAACGTATGTGCTGTAACTTGCATATGATCAGGGCTCCACTACAGCTTGCTGCGTTTGTGTGTCCCATTTTGATAATTGATTGAGGATCAGTTGCTGACATTCATCTGTAACGACACTGTTCAATTCACGCTCGGTTGTGTTGAATGTTGGGGGGTCATATTGAGAGTCGCCCATCATGTGCCAGCGGAGGCTTCGCATTGGAAGCGGGCCTCCTACGGTGTCAGCACCGCCGTTTGCGTACCCAACATCCTTAACGCCACGAAACTGTACATGTGGGGGCTGTTGTTGAGGCATCTGGACACAGCAACGAGGACGTATGACTATAGGTAGACCTGGCTTGCTTGTTTTTTTTTTCCAATTTTTCCCCCAAGCGTTCATCACCAGGCAACCCTCGTGCACGCACCCGTCTCCGAACTCTAACGCAACACTCCGCTTTGATCTTTGCCGTCTGGGCGCCCTCCAAACACCACGACGTGACAGTATCCTGTGGCCAAGTCTGGCGCAAGATTTGCCGCGAGCATGACCCGGATGTTTTATTGCGACTCCCTGGCGGACAAGCTTTGGGCGGTGGTCCAACTCATCCGAGCTTCCGTTGGGCGCTAACTATCAATAGTTTGTGCTTGTGCATCGTTTAGCCAGCTCTTTGCTGATGTTGCTCACTATGGATGAAGACCGAGGAAAGTCTGGTTCAGCTTGGGGACTTATTTGGTCGTAACATGGAGTACGCGTATTGGCTTGGAGCCACATGTGTTCATGGCCGGGCTCAGGGGCCGTTGCTTGGCAGCGATATTGTCGTGTTGCTGTCTGCGTAGTGTGATTATTTCCGCTGACTCGATTGGTTCATTTTTCTTCTTGTGTACGAGGAGCTTGAAGCTGTTTGGTAGCTTGTGACGACCATGTCTCACTTTCATGTACAAGTATGCATTGCCTGCGGTGATCTTTTTTTTTAGTGAATGACCCGTTCCGCGTGGCGGCTTGTTTTGTGGCCACCCTCTTCTGCACCTGTCACAGTTCACCGGGATCAATGTGACTAACCGCAGCCAATACTGTAGCGCTGAAAACCTTTGTCTTGACCGAGACCTTTCGTCATGCATAAGTGCATAAGACTACCTACATGTAGGGTTGCGCCAGCTAGCTTTGAGCGGGGCATTTTACGTTCCTAGTTGTGCGGACCCGTCGATCGTCTTCAATTGTGTTTTTGCGTTCGTTTTTTCTCCGCTGATACGCTGGCGCCAGGCTTTCAACAGTGAACCAAATGGGCCTTCCATTGTGTCATGTGCATATATCGTGCACCAACTATCCCCCAAACAAAACTGTAGGGCATCAAGCTGCATTAGAGGTCAACTCCAATGCTTGGGCCGTCTTGCGCCGGGTATGTATTTCTTCACCTACAATAGGATTTGCCGAAGCGCGATCTCTCCTTTGTTGTATGGTAGGCAGCACGTGCCCAGATCGTCTCCTCGGCACCATCGCCCTGAACAACTGATTATTGCACCATGTGGTAGAAGCGCACAACGCTGAGACTAGGATGATGCGGCCCGCCATGTGGTGTGTGGTTTGTATCCATGCAGCATGCGATCTGATGAGAAACAGATCGTGCGGTGGCAACGAACTGGGAAATCGTGAAAATCAAAATCCGCGTTCGTTCCTTCTCCGCCCAGTCAGTGCGTGCCCTGCGCAACCACGGGAAACGTTGAAACATGAAGTGCTCCGAGGCCATTTGCCCCGGTGGTATGCATAGATGAAGTGATTGCTGTGCATTTTTTGGTCACAACTGTTTTCGTTTTACCTCAAAAGGTGCCGCTGGGCGAACTGGATCCAAACAAGCCCACGGGTTCGAATATGTTTCTCGATGCGGCGTCGATTGATTGATTGGAGGAACCGACCAATCAGAGCGGTCGATTTGGTTTTTGAACATTCGCAATGGACTTGATGCATCGGCCAACACCGAGACCCCATGAATGCTGGCGCAATGTCGACCATACTGGGTGTCGGCAGAAACTACCCATTAAATGTGAACGGCTCTTGATTTTGCCGAAGATCACTCGCTTCGGGTAGTCCGGGGTTGTCTGCAGTCTGGCCATGTCCGTCACATTGTCGGCTTTGTGGCCGTCTCCGAACGCTTCTTCCCATCATCACCAGCTGTCCATCTCCCAGTCTGTCTGCCTTTCTCTGCCTTGCCTATTTTCCCCCCTCTGATTACCTGTTCTGTACACTTTGTACGTCGACCGCGTTGTAGCCCTACGTACTTCGATGGGTAAGTGATCACGTCTGCTGCCAATCAATCTGCAATGTATCATTTTTCAGTATTACTTTCCCAACTGCGGGCTACGTGAATTCGAAACATTTGCTGCATTCTGCGGTGCCCCTCTCAAGTGCTCCGCTCTTCAACCAACCAGCAACCCACACGCATCGGAGCTGCAGACGCCATGGAGTTGGAGTGGAGTTATGGTGCCGTATCATCAACCAGCATGAATGATGACTCGGACTCCGTCTCGTGGGGGTACATTCCTGGGTACTTCGGGCTCTTCCTCGCAGTCATCTACCTCATGTGAGCATGGTTGTGCTGTCTCCTCGGGTGTAAATCACAGAAACGTAGAACTGCGGCGTTGTTCCGTACCCCCTGTTTGCCAAACACGTCTATTGCAGTATAACAGCAGTACTCATTGCTGTGCACAGCAGTGTGGAGAGAGACGCGTGTTGTGTGCTCGTCTCGATTTGGTGGGCGTGAAGTGGTTTAACTTCTGTCACTGATAGAGAGATCTGTCACTGATAGAGAGATCAATGTGCAGCAACTTGAAACTGACTTGAAACGTGCCCTGAGTTGGACACACCTCAACGGTTGGCACATCGAATGATCTACTGGACGATTAGGCACTTCGGGTTGCGGAGTTCGCAGGCAGAGCGTGGCTGGGACTTGGCCGCGTAACAGCTACACACTGCTATCGGCCTACGGGAGGACCTATCAAAGTATTGGGGGCGCAGGCACCGCATGAGAGATACTCTGTGCCATGAGACTCCTATTTTGTTACTATGTTACAGGCCGGACCAACCGTGACTCGTTCGAACTGTACTACTGCTGGCGTGGTTCTTCGTTCTTCTTCTTTCTCATGTCACTCTTTCGGAGCGGTACAATAGTCGTCTACCCGGGTCGGCTGGTCTTGCCGAAGGGTGCCGATGGTACTGGTTGTGGCCTGCTGGTGGTGCTACGAATGCAATTTTTGCATCCCCCAAGTAACCTGGGCTGTACATACGATGTACAATCTTTATAAGAAAGATAGCGAGGATCGACATGACGTGCTCGCATCAACACAGGACGGATAGTTGTCTGAGCGGGGCAGTGGCAGCTATTAGGTTCATGTCCCCGCGAGATTGGAGAACTTTCTCGGGGTGGATACTTGTTGATAAGCCTTTCCAGCCTTTCCTTGTTTTCTTTTCAAGCGCCCTGCAAATGATACGCTCGACCCGGCGTTGTTGGCTTCGATGTTCCCGCTGCTGTAATCACTCAAGTAGACTATAGACAATAGTCTACTGCTGTTGTCTTTGTGATCATGTGCCCAAACAGCCAACCACGTGGAACGGGCTAGTTGGAGTCATGTACATAGCAAACGGCACAAAGGTGCATGGAACTGCTCTATCGCTCCGACCATTGCTGTAGGTTGTACAGACATGCATGGAACGTGTTTGGAATGCGCCGCTCCTCAGGTGCCAGCTACCTGCTGCGGGTTGGAGCACTGCTGTTGGTGACTACCTGGTACATGCCATTCAATTCCGATTTGGTGTCCCAAGCAACATAGAGAAACGGTTCACCGACGCGTGCGTACAAGATAGACGTCGTAGGATGAAAGAGTCTTGGAGCTGCCGTTGGCTGTTGCAACACTACGTTGACACTTGTTAGCCCAGAGAGCACTTGAAGCTTGCGAATTGCACCACGAGCACTAACCCTCGTCGACAGTATGTCCGCGGTTGTCTTTCAGCCTCCCCCGAAAGCGATAAAGCCGTCATACCCGTCACCCTTCCTCTTGGGACTCCACCGCACTTCCGCACGGGCGCAATCCAAACGTCCCGCGTCCCGTGCATTGAGTGTCGTTTTCTTTGGTGTTGAGATTTCTCCTCGTCTGGCGCAATGGTTGTATGCCCCGCGCTTGCGAGGAGAACCTTTGACCGGGCATGGCTACGTGGCCTATGTACGAAAGGGGGGCCTGGCATTGATGGATTGACGTGGTTGGTTGTATTCGCCGTCTTGTGATTCGTTTCGGTCTCATTGTCTCTCTGACGCCACGTCCGACCCTGCTCTGCCGTTTCCTCTCGCACAACACCGACATGCCGTTCCACTACTGTCGTGCTCCTTTTGGTTACTCTTGCCCGTTCGTATTTTCAGGTGCCACACGGCCGACAACTACTTCAGCCCGGTCCTGGCTGTCATGTGTGATCTGGTGAGGATTTTACGAGGCAGGCATGAAGATGTTAGAATGCCCCGGCTTGTCGTGTAGACGCGGTTGAATCACACGGATAACGCTGGATGCGTTATTGTCTCCAACCCCGAGATGATCACCCATGTCCAGAGAAGAGTCGGTGAGAACGACACTCGTAGCACCGGGGGCTCCGACATATCATATTTTATCATATTGTCTCCACATCATAGGGTACCCAGTACATGAGTGTCAGTACCAGGTAAAAGCGGCATTATCCGACCGTTCAGATCACAAGCTGGCCTCTTTTCCAACACTAGAAGAAGTCCAACTCTCCTCCACTTAAACCTACCCTGAAAATACTGTTATTCTCAGAAAAAAGTATCCTCAATAATTTTGCCAAGCAACATTGACGACTCTCCATGTTCATGAGCGAGCACTCCATTCCCGACGGTTTTCGAGTCGCTGAAACACGGAATACCGTATTCTACTATAGTCATGCTACCCGTAGACTTGGATTGATGCCCTCCTTGCCAAATGACTTACATACCTCGCCCGATGGTGTGGTCCGTCTATCTCGACTTTTGATCCCCACTCCTCCCTCTCTTACTCCGTTACCCCCTCGCCCTTCCGTTAATTGCATCTCTTTTTTTTTTTGTTGGAAAGCTGGACATGCCGCCTGAAGTGGCCGGTGTGACTTTCCTGGCCTTTGGAAATGGGGCTCCCGACGTGTTCTCCGCCTTCGTCGCTCTGACGTCAAGCGCGGATCGAGAAGATGGCCTGTTGGTCGGTATGGGTTCGCTGCTAGGATCAAGTGAGACTGAGAGTCGTTGTCAGTGGTGCATGTACAGCAGTACATGTTTTATTCCCGAGAAGCACGGGTTGGGGTACATCCAGAAACAGCCCCACATGGCTTTGGCAGTTGGATTTCCAAGTAGACATGTATGAATCTTTGGCCTGTGGCGAAGTCGTTGTGTCGTTGAGTATCTACTGTACCTGTTGGTGGCAAAAAACCTTGTCTGGACACGCGCTGCAAGTGCATGCCCGCCTTGTAGGAAAACTCAGAATAGTTAGTTGCCCACGTGGCGACGAGAGTGAAGAAATTCGACTAATAGGGGCAAGGGTGCACTAAAACAAATTCCGACACCTACCCGACAAAACTTTTTTTCAGACCTTTCCGGGGGGGAGGGGGGGGGGTTACGAAGGCCCATCCCCCCCCCCCCTCCACGCCCTACAATTTCCTATATAAACACATCCCTACT